TTATTCGGCCTTGCTTTTAACTTATTCCACCGAATACCGAATGTGTGTTTTTTTGCAATATTCGGCTGAATATATTCGGTTACCGAATATTCGGTGCATCCCTACTTAATTGAGCAGCTAAAGCTAAAAGTGATGTTTGAAGACATGAACATTATCAACAACCAATGGCTGTGCTCTCTCCAGCACCAAAGAGGAAGCAGTAAACTGGGTAGACAGAAAACTCTGTTGAGGTGCAAGAACATGAACAAGTCTTGGTTCTCTTCTAATTTGGAAAAGGAGGAGAAGCTGATGGAGTTGTGATGTGACCAAGAGACTCAGTGTTTAACTTGTCACGTGTCTGATCCACCATCCAGCACTTATTTTAGTGAGAAATCTTAATATCTGGATCTTTCAACCTCTAATTCCAATGGTCTCCTTCCACTAAAACATTGCAGCTATCCAAAGGAGGCTCGTTAAGACTTCAAAATCCAAAAGGTTAAGTTTGTTCGCAAATACAGTTTCTTTATGGAACCAACAGGAATACTGTCGACGTGTTCATAGTTCTTAAAGTGAGTTTGGCGTATGGGGCAGGATGAGACATAATCTCAAAAGGAATTTAGTTGTAGTCTTACAAATAGTTGCTCTGTAAGATCCCATGTCTTTGCAAAATCTTTCTGTGTGTGATTAAAACCTCACATTTATTTAAAAAGGACAAAGTCTGACACCTTCTCACATCTACAAAGTCTTTTCAAAGTCTTCTAGTGTTCGGTAGAAGTAACAGAATCATGCAGGTTATGGCGTGCCTCTTAAAAACAAACTTCTCTAAACCAACTTCCCAGAACACCGAGAAGCTACACCGAACAAACATTAAGGGGAAAAAACAGGTGCAGCTCTTTCCCCTCTGCAGTTCTCACCCTGTGCAAATAGGTGTCAGAATCTTCTGGCATGTCGTAGTTGAAGACGATATTGACTCGCTCGATGTCCATCCCACGGCCAAAGAGGTTTGTAGCCACCAGGATCCGCCTCTGGAAGTCCTTGAATTGCTGATAGCGAGACAGCCTGCGGAGTAAGACGGGGGTGGAGGGGAATTATCAACACAGCTGCTGCAGACATTACTGGACTGTATCCCCCTTTGAAGGCAATGATGTGTTGAGTTAACTGATGAGGCCTCATGCTCCATAAACATACTTAACATTCAGAGCTCAATGGAGCATATGTTTATGAGAGGAGGTATGTAAGAGGAGGATGTGTGTCTCACCTCTCCTCCTGAGCCATTCCCCTGTGGATGGCGATGGCAGGGAAATTCTGTTCCACCAGGAGCTGAGCCAGAGCGATGCAGCGCTGCACTGACTTGACGAAGATCACCACCTAGAGGAGAAGCAAAGGCACTGAATTATAGCTGCTGAGGTGGAAACATGAAACACTAGTTTGACTTCTGAGGGGTTTCCTTCAGATCTTCAATTAGGAAACTTAAAATTACAGTGACCATTATTGCAGCGACTGAGTAGCTTTAAAGTAATGGTCAAGATAATTCGGGAAATGCACTTATTAACTTTCTGGCAAGATGGGAAGCTTGATTCAAGGTTCATGCCTACGTTCAATGTGAGGCTACAGGCAGCAGCCAGCTCAAGAATCAACCCACCAGCACATCTAAAAGATCACTAATTCACATGATGTAGGGCTACATGATTACGGCCAAAATGATTAACACAATTATTTTGATCCATGATAACGTTTAGTTGATTTTAGGGAAAAAATATTTTCTTTGCACTTTTGCATTTAATAATCTGCTCACACTCATGTTGTGCTACATTCCTGCTAATGTACAAATCTTTGCATTAAAACAAGACTGGTCTAGTTCACACTGCATCTCATACATGCAAATTATGAACAAAACTGTACCCAAAATGTGGGCTAATTAAAATTAGCTATGCCTTTACAGAATGTAATCAAATGAAAGGCCAATGGAGTGCGACTGCATTGGTTATTTCAGTGCGAAAACAAGTCCCATGCACTCTCTACTCTCTCCTAAATCCAGAGCACTTCCAAACAGTGGATGATGATGGCTCATGAGCAGATGATGCAACATTCAGAAGACTGAGCACAACAAATTTACACACATATTTAACAACAACATATTTAAAATGGTCATCTATTGTGGCAAGAAAATTGTGATGAATACGTGATTAATTGTGCAGCCCTCATGTTGTTTCTCATTTATTTCATTTGTACAAAAACTATAAGAACAAAAATTTAATGGGGCGTATGTGCAGGACTACTTTTTGGTTGTGACCACTGTATTCACAAAGCTTCCAACAAAAAGTTGATTCTTTTTTAGAGAAATTCCTCTTACAATTTAGACTTGATCCTGGTAAAGATAGAAGTTATTCAAGACGCATCTTAGCACTTATAGGAGCAGTGTACAGGATTTAGGGACATGAATCTGGATATATAACTATGTTTTCATTGGTTTATAATCACCTGAAAATAACATTTTTTTTTCCTAGTTAAGAATTAGCCATTTATAACCACATCCGATACGGTTGCTCTTCCATAGAGTCTATGATGTTGTTCCTACATTAGCTCAGAACAGACAACCCAAACCCTGATTCGAGATGGGGCCATTCACGTTTTCCTAACTTTAGTTTCAGTCTTCTTGCTATCTGAAACCTCACTGTTAGATGCCACTCCAATTCTACGCACTGGACCTTAAAGAGAGCTCCTAAGGTGAAAGATTTAATGAAGTGAAAGTGATTACAACACTGAGAGAACCAGCAACTGGAACACTGCAGCAGTGATGGGTGTCTCTCACCCCTCCATTGGCAGTGATCACACAAACACTTACAGCATTTTAACTGTCTCATATTGTGATGCTAATTACTTTATTTCCATTGGGCCACACCTTGCTGGCTCACAAAAGCACAATTACACCTTTTAAAAGAATGCATCACACATTGTAAAGGAGTCGACCACGCCTCCTCACTAAAGGTCAAAGTTTCTGTTTCTTCCTTGATCAGAGTTGCTGAGAATTTACTTAATCACTCCTAAGCTAGGACTCCCTGCATGACAGTTTTTATCAGTATGGTAGAGTGATGGAGGCATTGACCTGGTGACGTTGTGGTTATGTGACATGCACTTTAACCTTTGGGCTACCAAGGTGCTACACATTTGTTTTTGAGCTAAACTAAAGAAAAAGAGCTAATCAGTTCTCTTCAGGAGGTGCTGCTGGTTGGATTGTTGAACTTATTTTACAGATTTCTTGTAAAGCAACTTTTCCAGTTCTGTAATCCCACATTACAACTGTGGAAAAAGCTTACAGGGTGACAATAAGTAATAGAAAGACTAATTTTTTTTCTTACATATTTGCTCCTATATTTGACAATTCTTAAAACTAGCAAACACTCAGGTAATACAACATGCTAATGGCTATAGGGACGGTCATGCAATATCTCCATCACTTTACCTGGTTGAACTCCAACACGTCGAGCAGGTCGAAGAGCTTGCGGTTCTTCTCGCTGTCCTTCAGCTTGCAGTAGTACTGTTGCAGGCCGTGGAGTGTCAGTTTGGTCTCGTCGTCCACAAATACCTCCATGGGCTGTCCCGGAGGAGGTGACAGAGATTTAAACTTGATGAGTTACAGTAGCAACATGTGAAAAACATCTAAAATTCAAATGTGCAGCAGCTACAATGCTCAAGCAGTTTGTGTTCAGAAAACTTCATCGATCACTTACATCCTGCATGAATTTGCGGCAGACCGGTCGGATCTCCTTGCTCAGTGTGGCGCTGAACATCATGACCTGCTTCTCGTGGGGTGTGATCTTGAAGATGTCCTGTACGTCACGCCTCATGTCTGTCACACAAAGAGAGGTCAGAGTCGTACAGATTAATACAGACTGATGGAATCAATAAGAACTGATCATGTCAGCCAATATTCAGACAACAGAACGCACCTAGCTGCTCCAACATTTTGTCGCACTCATCCAGAACAAAGTGCTTGACGTTCTTCAGGGTGAGGGTCTTGCTCCGGGTTAGAGCGAGGATGCGGCCCGGCGTTCCGACCACGATGTGAGGGCAGTTCTTCTTCAAGACGTCCTCGTCCTTCTTGATGGCCATGCCGCCAAAGAATACTGCAGCCTTTACCGTGGGCATGTACTTGGAGAAACGCTCATACTCTTTACTGATCTGGAAGGCCAGCTCTCGCGTGTGGCACATGACTAATACAGACACCTGAGGAGCAGACAAACAGAAAACACTGATTCAGACACTGTACATCCTAAAAATTAGATGCTCTCCATAATGCAGGCCTCAGGTTTTAAAGTAAGTCACTGAACAATTTAATGAGCAAACAAATGCCTGTTTCTGACAGTAAGCCAATTTCGTAAAGTCACTTTTTGTTCACCCAGTCCATGAAAATGTCGTCTTTATTTGCAATTACTCACAATTATTTATTAGATTAATCGATCTGTTGTTTTCTTGATGTCAATCATTTTTTTGTGCATTAAATATCAGAAAATTGTTAAATTAAAAAAAAATACCATCTGTGTTTTCCTGGTACTATGGATGGGCAAATGTAGCCTTATGAAGCTTTGGGACTTTCTATTTGTGCCAAAAAAAAAAAAAAAACACTTGAAGCTTCAAGTGCAGCAAACGGTGGCATCTAGTGGTTTACAAAACTTACAGCAACCCTCCCACATGGGGCGAAGTGCCACAACACCTCTATGTTTTAAATAGTTTTTCCTTTTGTTTCATGTGCATGCAATTAAAGTTTAACACGTCTGTGTGCTATTATTAAATCTGTGATGCTTTTGTTCTGATGTGCTGCCTCAAATGTAGCTGATATTGTCAGATAATAATCCTTTCTCTAACCAGTTGCATTAGAAATTTACCCAACTGGTCTAATTTCCAATAAAGACAATAATGCTTCTTCAGAGCTCAGCACAAAATAGCTTTACTGTGACACAAAAACTGAGCTGGTCCCAGGAGCAGACGGAGCTGTCTCAATATTACATTCACCTTTCTGCTGCTCACGTTCCACTCCTGCTGCGGGTCTAATTGACAGAGCCCTTGTATTGTTTGCCCTACTCTGGCCACAAACTCAGAACACATTCCATGTGCCAACCTGCTCCTGATACCATTGTGTCTCATCCTCTGAACATCATGACATCACCACACCACAGATGGCAGATACACACATCAATCTGAAACAAATGCCAAATGCATACAATAGATTATGGCCAAAATGATAACCACAATTAATTTGATCAACATTGAGAACACAGTTATTGTTTTAAAAAGGAAAAAACATTTCTACTGCAGTTTCACACCTAAAATAACCAGAGCACTGCTTTCACTTCCATGTTGATGCATCAAGATAAGACTGGTCCTTAGTCACAGCACATCTCCTAGAAGCAAAATATCAATATTGTACTAAGCCCTTTACCCACGATTAAATCAAGCGAGCACTGCTTTCACTTTCATCTTGTGCTACATGCCTGCTAATTCAAATTTTTGCATCAAATGAAGACTTAGAATAACGTTCTTCTTCATCTGAATTCAGAGCTTCTCCTATATAAACATATCCACTACTGTACTGTTTATTTACAACAGTCACAGTACGTACTGCTGCAGTGTTGCTGTCAAGGATGTCTGAGTTGACGCTGGACAAGGACCAGGAGTCAGTGTTAACGATGTTATTCTCCTTGACCTTCATGCATTCATCATACTGCCGACTGCAGAGATTTTTCAGGTGGTTAAACAAGCGGCGTTGCTTTGCAGTGCAGACACAAGTCCAATACACTTTTTGCATATGATTTGTCGGCTCCTAAAACCGCAATACTTTCTAAACAACGCTTGATGAACAGATGACAGCCCATCAGCAGTTGCAACGTTTCAGTTAAGCCTTTCATCAGGTGCCTCTGCAGGGTGCCACGTAGCTCTTCAAAAGTGGAGGATGGCTGTTAGGAAGCACTTGATTTGATATGCAGCTGTGTTTACTACAAGCGGAGCATGCGTGTTAATATTGGAGTCCATTGTGTTCATGTAATTGGGGAAAGCAAAAAATGTAATTGTGATTTATATTTAATTACTTGTGCAGCCCTAGCTCACTTTTAGGATAACAAAAATATACAACACAATCTATTGAAAAGGTAAGCTTCCAAAGCAAAACAACCTTCAGAGTTTTGGTATCAGTTGCACATCTCTACCTGAAGCCCAAGTTGCTGTTTTCAAACGGTATGTTTAATCCAGTCCAAAAATCCAAAGCTATTCCGTTTATTGTCATGCATGATAGTATTTTAACATTCAAGAAGCATGAAACTTGCGAACGTCGGCTCTTTTGTTTATATAATAACTGGAATGATTCATCGATAACCAAATAGTTGGTTAATCATTGCAGCACAGACCAAGTGTGTTGAACATGCGCACTCACCTGCCCATCAACAGGTTCAATCTGCTGCAGTGTGGCCAACACAAACACAGCTGTCTTGCCCATTCCAGACTTGGCTTGGCACAAGATGTCCATGCCCAGAATAGCTTGTGGGATGCATTCATGCTGCACTAAAGGAAAAGCATAAAAAGAAGATTTAAGCCAGTGTGTACACATTTCATTAGAACAGCCAGTATTTCAAGTTGTTGTACAGTGTGTCCAGACATGCAGGAACCCTGCTAGTATCCTTACATGGGACACACAAATATATACAGATCCTGTAAGTTGTGTACAGGAAAAAACTTTCTAATGAAACTCCTTCACATCTACACACCCTCCTGTTTCTTAAATCCTCTTCTGCAATCCAATTCCCATCACCATCTGCCCACTTTTCTACCATGGGTTCTAGATGTTCTGCTTCCCACCTTAGGAACTCTCCCCCACATGACATTCACACTATTGACTCCCTTTCCACCTTCAAATACCGTCTGAAAACACACCTTTTCAAGCTGGTATATTTGGTCTGATTTAATGTTGACACACACTCAGTACGTTTACATGCACAGTTAAGCTGAGCTACTATTATAGTTCAACTAGGCCAGTTAATGGGACTACTGTCCTTGTCCCCGTATACACACACAGGAGGGGACTTACTCAAGTATGTCTGACTCCACTACAACAGATGGCAGTATGTCACCTTTCAGCTTGTTTGTATTGGACCTTTTGCCGGTTGACCCTTTTACGGCACAGACCAAACAATCAAGTGTCGTCCAGCTGTTCCGCCACTATTTCCTCCTCCTAAAATATTTAACTCCTTCAGCTGATCATCTGTCAGCTCGTCCATCCAAAAAGACACAGTTCTGTGTGCAGATTTTGCCGTGTTTATTACCAGCATCTTCTTCTGTTACTCATTTAATGCTATTTAACTTCCAGGTCAAGGCCTTGGGTGTAAACTGTGGAGCACGCCCAGAGCACCTAGGCCATTTTGGGGCTGGTTGACTGTATACATGCAGGAGCAATTCACCTCCCAATCGAGTTTATCTGGGTGTGTTAGTCTGACTTTAAGAAAATGAATAAGATTTCAGTTGGACTTTGTGTGGTGTTTACATGTATTTTAAAAGTCTGGTTTTAGTCGGACTGGCACAAATCTATTTTCTCTAATGTGATGCAAACATACTGACAGGGACTGAGTTGTTTGATTTTATGATCTATGGATACACTGCTGCTTATTATGACTGTGTCTTGTACAGTGTCCTTGATTGCTCTGAAAGGTGCCTATAAGTAAAATGCATTTAAAAGTAACTAACAATACCCCACTTGAACAAACGTGTTCGTCATATTTACTGGTTGGTACACACAGCCACTGAAGACAACCAAATGTCCCTCACCTTCAGATGGATGCTCAAAACCACAGTCGATGATGGCGCGAAGCAGCTCTGGCTTGAGCAGAAAGTCCCTAAAACCAGAGCTGTGGATGGAAACGTAGGACCCCTTCACCTCCTTCTTCCCTGCGGGCGCTGCGCTCTCAGGGGCTCCCTGAGGCTCCTCATCCTCTTCGTAGTCGAGCAGCTCGTTCTCAACATCGTTCTCTGCCATCGTGTCGGTCTAGAACAACATAAACAGAGAAAGAAAGTTACTATTCAATCATCGTCTACAATTGCTGGGCTCACACCCCCTTGCTGGGTTGACATGTGAGGCTGTTCACAGAGCCCAGCTGTTGTTGCCAATCTTTGTGCCAGGTATCACCAGATACATTTACATAACGTGTGAGCAAAGGTGTGTTTGTCTCCACGGATTTATTGCAAGATGATGATGAACAACGTGAACGCTTCACTGAGCATTACTGTGTGTACTCCGCACACCCATTGTAAGATATGAGGCCAGTGAGTGAGCTATCCGAGCTAACTTAATATGTGAATAACTGAGAGGGAAGTATTAAACTAGATATACACGAAAATCTGCCCTCTGGTATGCACATACAATATCTAATTAAACTCTGATCGAGCTTAGCTTTGGAGTTTCGCCAGCGCTGTCGCATTAGCAAACCGGTTAGCTTCTGAGCCAGTCACAATACTGGAATGCTATTGTGTTGCATAACTGTTGCTAACGTGGCAAGCTAACTTACTATACGGCCAAAACCCTTTTGCTAACTACCCAGCTGAACTACAGAAATACAGAGATAAAGTTTAAGTTATAATAAAGAAGACATTATCGTTGATATGAAAAGGCTACGCACTTACTGACTATGAACGAATGTGCGGAACAGCGGTGCGTCAAGCTAACCGACGCTACCGCTACGCTACAAAATGCTAGCTAGCTCAGTTAGCATCCTAAAGCAAACAATAAGGGAAGCTATTTCATTCAAGAGTAGCCGCTTCGTGACTTAAGCCATGTAAAGTAATTTTCGACTTCCTGGACGACAGGTGAATGTTTTGAAAACATTCTAGTTGCAACAATAAAATCGTATTCTTACCTTTACGGTGTTAGCTGCGCGTCCACCTACAGATCAAAACCGCATGGGGAGGAGGCCTCTGTTGGGTTATACGACTAACAGGAAGTCCCGCCTCCGCCGGAGAGCGTCGACATGATTGGTGAATTTAGAAGACCATCGGCAAAAGCATCCAGCGATTGGATGAAAAGTGTGCCGCAGTCCACCGCAGTTTAAAAAAGCGGGATACAGCAGTGCTAGGCTGTGGATGGAAGCCGACGAGGGTCATGGAGTTAAATAAATAATTGCGCACAATAAAATAAATGCATCACTATAATGCATAATATATACAAGTATATAATTGGAACCATTGAGCTTGAACAAAAGCATAATTACATTTGAGGCTTTCTCTTCAGCTCTGAAGGGCAAACTTTTTCAATTTTTTTAATATGTGGGACCAGTGCTTGGACTACATGCCCAAAAATGTCCATGATGAGGAATAATTTAGCCTGAAAAGAGTACCTAACAGCAAACTATACTAAACTATACTAATTAAGGGAACAAAATCAATCATAAAACACACAGATCAAGATAAAATTATATACAAATAATTGTGTTTATTGTTCTCTGGTGGTCATAGGTAAAGACAACAAATGCACGCTCATACACATTCAGTGGAATAACACATGAATCTTCCCGCAAGCCACTGATTGGCACTTCATTAGTTTAATTATTAGTGGCATAAAAATGTGCAGGATGTGTACTCTTTGGGCTAAAATGTAAATGAGACAGTCATGGCTGTTAAACCATGAAAAGAACCAATGGAAAAACAACATTCTTAAAAAACAACTAATGAGCATTTTGCCCAAAGTACGCCAACACAAATCCTGTTACATATCAGTATACAAAAGGTCTTCACTAACAGAATGTTATCAGTGTTAGCAGTAAGATAGTGAGTCTTATATCTGTGATTCCAGAGCAGAGGAGAAGCTCCACTGTGTGGGAGAGAAGTATGGGAAACTGTCGGACTCTGGCCGGGAATGACTCTCTGAGTATGTACCAGAAGGGGGGCAAGAACGGCTCAGGAGGTCCCTGACATGGGAAGGCAAAGTAAGAAACAGCCAGTCTTCCACCTGAAGACCACCTCCATGCAGGCTGGAGCAGCAGCCCAGTTCAGCAGGTAGTTCCTCCAGACTGTTGCTGCGCAGGTCCAACCTACACAGCTGACTCGAAGCTGCAACGCCCCTGGGTAATGAGCTCAGAGAGTTGTGTGACACGTTAAGGATGCGCAGCTCCAAACAGCTGCTGAAGAGCTGAGGGGGAAGGCTCTCTACTCTGTTCCCACTGAGGTCCAGCTCTGTGAGCAGCTGCAGTGCCTTCACCTCCACAGGCAGCACATCCAGCAGGTTACCAGCCAGCAGGAGCCTACGAAGACGGCGAAGAGTGAAGAGTGCTGGGGGAAGGCTCTGGAGCTGGTTGTTGGATAGATCCAGGAGCTCCAGGCCTCGCAGCACACCAACACTGGCCGGCAGTGCCAGAACACGGTTGTAGGCAAGACGGAGGCAAGACAGACGTCGCAGAGGAGCCAGGCTCAGCAGCTCCTCTAGAGTTCTCAGGTTATTATGCTGCAGGTCGAGTGTCCGCAGGTTGGTGAGAGCCAGCAGGGCAGAGGGCAGACGCTCTAGCTGGCAGTCCTGCAGCAGCAGCTCAGTCAGGTCCACCATCCGCTTCAAGCCTGTCAGCACAAGCAGTCTGGTGCCCTCGTTGAAGATCTCCAGCCTCACCAAGCTGCCTGCCACCTCACACAGCTCCCCAGGGATCCGCTGTAACATGCCCCGAATCACCAGCACACGGAGGTGACGTAGTTGGCGGAGGCTCCCCAGTGCCCAGCTGCGACCCACCCCACCGTCATTACTCAGGCGGCCAGAGAGGTGGAGCTCATGCAGGCTGCGGAGGGAGAGGGCCCAGCTGGGGATCTCTGACGGTTGAGTAAAGGTGAGGTGGAGGGCCTCGAGGCGTTCTTGGAGGACAGCAAGTGCGCTGGGATCCACCGCTGCTGTGCAGTGATAGAGGTGGAGCTCCCTGTGGTGGGAAGATACAATAAAAAACTTAATGTGCTTATATCCAGCAAAACCTGAAAATAGGAGATAGCATAGTTCATAATGAAATAAATATGTGCACACCCACATAGACTGTTGAGGTAAAAAAATGGGAGAAAAATGCATGTTTACCTACAGATCTAACAAAGAATTGATTGCTTTTATATTGATTATTTGAAGTGGAGGGAGGCAGTTTCATTTTGGTGTCTTTGATTATGTTGTAATTCAAGTGGTCTGAGAGAAAACTAGATATCTGCACCTCCTCTTGGCTCTGTTCTCAGGCTTTAGAAAATCTAGCCTGAAACAACACTTTGGCCAATCACAGGTCATTTCAGAGAGAGGGGGCGTTCCTGTTGGCTGTTCTACAAAAGCAGATGCAAGTGCACGCCAGATTCAATAGTGGGAAGTCCTGCAGAGAAAGCTGCTATTCAAGTATTGGCAACAACTGCCTACACTGCAAAGCAACTCAAAGAAGGAAAAAAGAGTCTCAAAGAGAGTCTGACAGTAAACGAAATAAAACAAGTGTCAATATAAATTAAGCATGTCAGAGATGGAGAGAAAGCATTGCTAATAGTTTAGCCTTATGCTAAGTGGAGCTAAAGGCTCACAGCTGCAGGTTCAAGATCACATTTATATAGCTAACATTAACTAGAGCCTCAAATCACAGTGTGTGCTTAATCTCACTCCCTGATCCTACAGATATCCTTGTTGGGAGGACACCAGCTCCAGAGACGGATGCCAGTCAGCACAAACCACAGCTCTAGGGGACTGGGCAGCCCTGACTTCCTGCTGGATTAGCAAACTTTCTGTTGCTGCCATTACACAAGTTAGACCGGTGTTGCTGCTGGCTGCCAGCCTGCTGTGACACCCAGTGCTGGGGGTTTGTGCTGACCAAATGACAACCAAGGGTCCACCTCCTGAGCTGCTGCCCGCTCTCCTCCCAGGGAAGCAATCCACAGTGATGAGGAGCGAGGCAGGGGGACCATGGGGTGACTAGCAGCTAATTCTTATCTAAATTGATAAACAGAGAGGGAGACAATGGGGAAAGGAGGGGCTGCAGATGTGATGTGTGAAACTCTACAATGAAATATGATTAATTAAATCAATATATGCCTGTGGTTGTCTGGTGGGAGGGGCTTAGGACAGAGACAGGAGAGCTGCAGGAGGAGGGTGTATTTTTTCGGTCTGTTGTCTCTTTGCGTTTCCAGATTTCTGCGTACCCCAGCTTTAAATGCATCGAAAAACAATGTGTGTGTACATCACAGTGTTCAGAGTTATCCATATACATTATTTTAAGTGTCAAGTATAACCTTTTATTTGATGTGCATTGTTTAAATGTATAAAGTATGACTTCACTACTGTAAAACTCACCTGAGCGACATCATGTTGGACACCTGTGCAGTAAACCTGGCATCTGTGATGAGCTCCAGTTTGAGGACCTGAAGCTGGCTGAGGTTGAAGAGGGCAGGAGGGAGGCGAGGCAGGGCCACCAGCTGCAGTCTGGAGCAGCCCTCTGCATCCACGCTAGTCATGGCATGCAACTTCTCCTCCCCCCAGCGCCTCTCCAAGCTTTCCTCCATCAGCCTGCTCTCACTGACAGGCGACAAGAAAACGGACAGACGCTGGGCCAGCAGAGGATCGTACTGGTCTAACATGTGTAAAAGGAAAGCCAGGTCATTTCTCAGGTCAGGGACATCTCTCAGGGAGCACAGCTCTTTCAGCGAGTGGAAGGAGTACTGCCGTAGAGAGCTACGTAGGGCACAGAGAACAAAAACAACATGAGAAATTTATCACACAGAATGTAATGTCACCCAAAAAACAGAATTACACTAATCCTATAATCAGGCCTCTGGTATGCTCAACATCATGGGCATTATTATGTTTAAAGCCCTTTGAACAATTACAGCCTGTGTAGTCTACTTCAACTCTCAACAAGCTATTAATCAAAGATTTAATATGTTTATCTTGTTCAAACTGTGACAAATGATTTATTCATAAGCCTGTATCCTATTTGACCGTATAACTGTCGTACATTCCCCTCACGCTGTCTGCACATTTTACATGTTTTAAACCAGGTACTACAAAGCGCTGCTGATAAGTTTCAAAGGCTTATAATCAAATATGAAAATCAACGTGTAGGAAATAGAAACCTGCAGCAATTAATTCATGAATCTAGAGGAAGTGGAGCAAAATTAGTATTTATTTGCAGTCTAGTCATCAGAAGAAAAAACTGCTGGCATACTACTTTTCTTTGATTCTTTAATTTCATACTTAACACGTCAACGCTTCTAAAGTGATGTAGTATACGAACTGACTTTGTCCCCTGGAGGTGGAGGGGATGGTGGATGGTGTGTCACCCATGCAAGACACCTGCCAAACTGCAGACCACAGTTGGAGACCAACAAACAACAAAACTAGTTGTATTTTAATGAGTTATTGCTGCATTTCTTGTGGCTTTTTAGCCACCAAACGTGGGTGTTTTTTAGCGACTCATCGCTGTGCTTTCGGCTGGGGATTGTGCCATGAAAAGCGGGTTTATGAAACACGACATTGCTGCATTTCTTGCCATGATAGTGCTACAAAAAGTGATTATTTTAAGCTAAAACGTGATCTTTTCCTAACCATATCCAAATGCAGCTAAATGCCTGTAACAGTGTCGTCAGTAGATCAAGCTTCATTTTCTGAAAAGTAATGCTTGTGGCTGGAAGCAAAGTCAATGAGAGCAGTGAGAGTGGACCAAAACAATGAGCTGAAAGACGCTAACACTTTGTAGAGCTGCAGGGAAACTGCAGAGTTAAGTGATAATTTTCAGTGGGGTCATCATTTTGTTTTCAAATTTAAAAATATTAAATACATATTATTATATTAATATTAATTTTAAAGTTCTAATCAAAATATACATTTTTTAGGTATTATCACAGCACCAACACATGCAGCTCTGCACAACCCAGTTGCCAGAAGAAAATGTTGGCATTGCACGTTTCTGCAAAGCATTAATATGTTATAAATTTTGTATGTTTTATATATCACGTCAAGGTTTCTAAAGTGATGTAGTT